CTGTAAATGGTTATTTTGAGGAGCTTGACGAATCAGTCTATAGAGATGGCATTAATAGACTGGAACACCGCTATGAGAAATGTATCAGCCTTGGAGGAGATTATGTTGAGAAATAAAAAAAAAAAATTTTTAAAAACCTTGTTTTTCTTGGTCAAGCCGGAAACTTATCAATCCACCCTCGTATTTAACAGCAAACTAGAAAGGTAAAAACTAACAGAACTTATAGAAGGTACCTAATAAATACGTTGGTTGTAACGAAATAAATACGTGTTTAAAGTCATAAATATATTGTAGCAGTTACAGCAACAGGTGTCTCATTTTGTAATATTCATTGGAGCTTTCGAACGAGAATCAAACCGATTAAGGACTCGGTATTTAATTAGACTAAATTTGACAGTATAGATTAACCCAATTTCTGTTTATTTTCGTTCTTTCTTTCATGCAAGTCACTGCTTATATCAACCAATTAACGAAAATTGTGTTAAACTATGCCATCATTTTTTGATCGTATAGAAGTTAATAAAAAATAGGCGAAATAGATTGATAGGATACCTTCTCATGCATGAAGGTCTAGTCAGAGAAATATTAGAGGCAGAAACAGGAGTTAAGAGTAATAGACCTCGATTAGATTACTGTTCGCAAACAGTTAAGGATATTCTAATTTTAGGAAAATGCGAAGATTAGCTCAGGATAGGAAGAAGTGGAGGTGCGTGTCCAACCAGTCTGGGGACTGACGACCTTATGATGATGAGGAACAAACATTCAATATATAAAACTATAGGACATAACTGAGGAAGTTGTTGCTTTTCCAAAAAAAAATCGGTTGTCTGTAAAGTCGGTTTACTGACGACAGTTGAACGTGACAACGTCATAAGAAAATACTGATGGAATGGTTTACTTTTCCAAAAAAAAATCGGTTGTCTGCAAAGTCGGTTTACTGACGATAGTTGAACGTGACAACGTCATAAGAAAATACTGATGGAATGGTTTAATTTTTTAAAAGAAAATTTTAATTTTATTTGTTNATGTACAAACTACTAATAACAAAACAATAATATAAACTAAAACTGTTGGTGTTAAGAATACTTACAATATTTAGAAGTGCTTCCAGACATTGTATTCGCTTATGATGCAAAAAAACACTTGCAACAAGTGGCGAAAAATAAATAAATTTACTATTACCCATCATGCACCACTTCCGGAAGTTTCAAAATTTAAATTTTCTGAGTTTTACATAAATAGCCAGTGAATAGTTAATATTAATACTCGATATATTCCAAACTATTAGTTTGTTTTGGAAAATATTATTATATTGAAACATTTTACATACCTTTATAAAAGAACTTCACGTCTTCTGTTTAATTTTAACATTATCACCTTTGTACAGTAAACTAACAATATTATTAATTATATTTTTTACAAGAACGAGCAATTAACCTTTTTGTAAAATTATTTTCCTTACCAGAACTCATTATTGTTTAATAATCAAATTCTTTGTTTCTTATATATTTTCGATTTTTAAATAAATGCGACTGTCTTTGTTATTTGTACAGTTTATGTTTTAATTGTTTACAAGTAATTGTTTTTACAGCCAACTTGATGAGTATAAGCGAAAATTCAACAAAAAGTAGAATAATACAAAAAAAACAATTCTTACAATAAAAAATAAAATAACATTCCACCGTAGGATAAATATTTCGGTATTAAAAAATCATTTACCAAATTCTGTAGAAAATGTTTCCTTGCATTTCCTTCTAGCCAAACCAATGATTGCTCATGCATTCCCGAGTCCATTCAGTTTGACAAACCCAACACCAATGGAAATTACACCCTGATCTTGTACAAATCATGTGCATACAACCACCTAAAAATATTAAATCCTATTACTTCAAAATTGAAGACGAATAGCTAGAAATCGCTGATTTTTGACCTTTTCAATCTATTTTTATCACCTACCTATATTTCAACATCGCAAACGCTATTAACTTTTACATGTAAAGCACTGGTTATGAGTGAATTACAAAATATGTCTAATATAGCTATAGTTAAAACACATAAAATAAAAACATAAGGGTAGAACGAGACTTACAATACATTATTTAAAAAAATTAAACAATACTCAAAAAAAGTATACAATATTTTGTTACCTAAATAATATAGTAAATTATTATAAAATGTTAAAGATTACTTTAGCTTTCTTGTTAACTATAACTATAAATTTAAAAAATATGTATACTTGTTTTCAGTTTAGAAGCAGGAAGAAGCTGCACTAAAAGATCATGATGCTGATTTTTTATAAAATGTGTCTGTATTGCCCAATGTTACCCTCAATTTTTTCTTTCAAGTACTTGTAATAGCAATAATTTAAATGTATTATTGCATATGTATTAAAAAATTATTTAGTCATTAAAATGTTGATTTACCATCTCGTTCAGTTGGAGTTCTACACTTAGGACAAGGTTTTGTAAGAACTTTAATAGTGACTTTAGAAGCCTCATCCCATCGTGCTTCAGATACTTTTTTGGGATCGACGTCAAAATTACAATTTAAAGACGACGTTTCCCCTAATGAATTCGTTGGAAGACAGCTCCCAATGTGATACCCTTGCAAACACATCCTACAGAACACATACTGAAATCAGATCAATAAAAATTTTCTGAAAACTGATATAATTTTTTTCAACTCACCCCACAACCATTTACACATGCAACTTTATTACATCCAGGATCTACTAGAATTCCCATACCACATCCAGGTTGAGGACATAAAACTCCTCCAGACTGGAGCACAAACTCCTCAGTAGCAAATGTTTGATATTGATCATACTAAAACATTTATTACAAAGTATTACTTAGAATGAAATTGATTTCAGAAAATAAGAATCTAAACCTGTGCCTGAGTGAGAAGTTTGAAATGATGAATTTCTGAAATAAAAGAGTCAGGACATCCTATGGGACATCCCAAGGTGTAACCATATTCTGGGTGTTGCCAAAACTGTCTCTCCCTCAATCTTGTTAAGCAATATTGTCGAAAACAATCCAGACATGCAACATGGCCTTGTGCACAAGGAAAAACAAATACTGTTTCACTAAAAAAAGGGAAACAAAAATTTTTAACCACTTTTTTCTGTTCTAAAAAAGAAACTTACATTATATCTCCACAGGCAAGGCAGGGAATTTCTTTCAAATTGGGTCGAATTAAATATAATGGTACTGCTTCATCATTTTCCCCGGATGATATATGTTCTGAACATTTAAAGTAGAACTGAGCAAATGTGGGTTCTCTATTATTGAGAATCTTAAACAGTCATTGAAATTATTTCTTTATAATACAAAAGCATATAATTTACATTTTCACATAGTTCAGGGCTATTTTCACAAGTTCCTGTTATTCTTTTTGGTTCCAATACATCATTCCAACTTTGAGGATCAGAATGAACTGTAAAAGCACCTATTTTGCAAAAATGACATCTGACCCTTAGTTTTCCAGTCTTAAGGCTTTTGCATGTGGGGCAAAACACATAAAAATGTGCTTTAGTTTTGTGTTGGCCTGAAAATTGATAAAGAAATTCAAAAATTAAGTCAAACAGACTCAAAGGTATGTTATAGCACAGATTTACTTAAAATCATTTGCAACTTACTTTCAACATCATTCACTTCTCCTTCAGCAAAATCACCCAGAGTTTCACACAGTGGTTTTGAACCTTCTTCTATAATTTCTTCGCTTATGTTAATTGGTGGAACAACAACTTTCTTCTTGTTCTTTACAGCATGTAATATGCTTTGCTGCCCTAAATCGCACTCCTACAAAACAATTGTGTACTTTTTCACTAAATTATTAATAACTGTTCCATTACAGATATCTTTATTGTGTCTCCTAATTCTTTTCCAGCAAAAATTATTTTAACTTCTTCTGGCTTGAGACCCAATTTAGGTGCAATACTTTCTTTGACATTCCTTTACAATATTTAGAAGTGCTTCCAGACATTGTATTCGCTTATGATGCAAAAAAACACTTGCAACAAGTGGCGAAAAATAAATAAATTTACTATTACCCATCATGCACCACTTCCGGAAGTTTCAAAATTTAAATTTTCTGAGTTTTACATAAATAGCCAGTGAATAGTTAATATTAATACTCGATATATTCCAAACTATTAGTTTGTTTTGGAAAATATTATTATATTGAAACATTTTACATACCTTTATAAAAGAACTTCACGTCTTCTGTTTAATTTTAACATTATCACCTTTGTACAGTAAACTAACAATATTATTAATTATATTTTTTACAAGAACGAGCAATTAACCTTTTTGTAAAATTATTTTCCTTACCAGAACTCATTATTGTTTAATAATCAAATTCTTTGTTTCTTATATATTTTCGATTTTTAAATAAATGCGACTGTCTTTGTTATTTGTACAGTTTATGTTTTAATTGTTTACAAGTAATTGTTTTTACAGCCAACTTGATGAGTATAAGCGAAAATTCAACAAAAAGTAGAATAATACAAAAAAAACAATTCTTACAATAAAAAATAAAATAACATTCCACCGTAGGATAAATATTTCGGTATTAAAAAATCATTTACCAAATTCTGTAGAAAATGTTTCCTTGCATTTCCTTCTAGCCAAACCAATGATTGCTCATGCATTCCCGAGTCCATTCAGTTTGACAAACCCAACACCAATGGAAATTACACCCTGATCTTGTACAAATCATGTGCATACAACCACCTAAAAATATTAAATCCTATTACTTCAAAATTGAAGACGAATAGCTAGAAATCGCTGATTTTTGACCTTTTCAATCTATTTTTATCACCTACCTATATTTCAACATCGCAAACGCTATTAACTTTTACATGTAAAGCACTGGTTATGAGTGAATTACAANGATTGTGCCTCTTTGTCGCTCGTTCCGCGCTCTCGCTTGCACTTCAAGCCTTAAATGGAACGCCTCAGAGCGAGGTAACGCCGCATGAGTCATGTTTTTTCGTGCGTGCAGCCGGCTCCATCGAATTATAAGACGTTGTCACGTCAAAAACTAGTTGATTTAACAGATACACTGCCTATACCTTGAAATGATTACATTCCATCTAATCCTCAAATACACAACACTTTTATATCTTTAAACACTTTACACGTGGAATTTTTGGTTTCCCAAATCGACAATGGCACCTTGGGTGTGGTATCAGATTTTTAAACGCTTTACGTGGTATAGCGGAATTGACTTTCCTTGAAATAAGTTGGACAAAAGATTTATACTCTTGTAATTTAATATGTCAACATGGGCTCTAAAACCAGAGCCGGATCTATGTATGGCCTTTTTGACTGCAACCAGGGCCCCGTGGACATAAAGGCCCCAGGCAACGGATAATATTGTGAATTTAGAAAATAAAAAAATAATCTACCTAAATGCTGTATTTTTTCCTATCATCATAGAAAGTAGTTTTTTGACAACGTGGTAATTAATTTAATTAATTAAGTAAGCTCCCAATTAGGGGACCCACATATCCAAGATCCTCCCCTGGTTAAAGATGCCAAAGATTTTTTAGAAATTATATTTTATAATACTATTTAGGCATTTTAGAAAGAACATGGACCATTTACATAATTCGGGGATGCAGCGAATATTAACTGGTCAAATAACTTTATTTTTTGTGTTTCAAAATACATAAATGTATTTTAGAAATCGCTTTACGTAAATCCTACTAATTTCAATACGAATTACGTTTCATAATCATGGGTGTACTTTAATTGTCAAACAGCAGCTGGTTTGAAACATTTACTCGCTCGAAAGTTATAAGAGCATGATGCAGGGTAAATTGAAACATTCGTGTAACACAATTACCATTACGGGGTTCGAACGGTTTCACAAATTTTCGCGCAGCAGTCAAACAATTATGAAGTGTAACATTCTGCATCGAACTGTTCTCAATCATTACATAAATACATACCTAGATAGACGAAATTCAAGAAAACTAAATAAGTAATTAATTTACGACTTTGCTTCATGTCAAAAAAAAAGAAAAGTGAGAAACAGAAAAGTAAATCTATAACAGGGAGAAGGCTATAAAATTAATAGAATGGGGCAGATTATCCAAATAATTTTAATTGAAGATACTAACCAAAACCTGCTTTCTGCAGATGTTATGCAGTTTTATTCTTGCTTTATAATATTATTAATGTTTGATATTTCGAGACTACAAAATGAAGATACGAATGAAATTCGTAATTTATTTTTTATTGCTTTGACACGATGGCTACATAAGAATAATATCCCCACCTCATTATTAAGGGAAATTCTTAAAAAAATTAAGAAAAACTGCATATAAACATGGGATTCCCATCTTGTTCAAGCAAAGGTGCACCTGAATATTTTTGCTAGGGGAGACAGATTTTCAATAACTATAAGTTTATATATGTTTAGTGTGTTTGGTATCTACGTTTTTTGACTTTGTGTCGATATCCTGACTCGTCAGATCCTTTTCCAAGAGGGACAATGAGCTTGCCCCCCAACGCTCCTACCTATCTACACCCATGTGCTCAGGATGATTAAAAAGCATATAATACATAAATAATAACCCTCTATAAACCGTTCAACATTTACAATTTTCAGGAATAAAACTAAAATTTCTATCACTTCAATTTGTAATCATTTCTTTATTTTAATTTACCTTAATCAAAAGTATCTACCGAAAGTACTTTTAACTTAATAAAAACCATTTTAATGTAATACTCTTCAATTGTTTCTTGTAGATGTACAAATAAATTTTCTAAATCTCACTCCAAACGAAACTGTATCCAAGTTAATTTAATAAATAATAAATAAACCCTAAACCCAGTAATGTTTTGTGTCAAAGAAGTACTTTTAGTTACGAAATTTTCAAATTCAACGAAAAAAAACATTTATTCAGTTCGCTTTTTCAAATACAAAATAAAAAATACCTATTTTTATCTTGCATTTAAATCTTTTTTTAAGAAAAACATTTTGTATTTTATTTTAAATACTTTTCCAAGCGTATTTTGTGTTTGTAAAATGCAAAATGCATTTTTGCCGTTAAAAGTTTTGTTGGTATCACCGATCAAACATCATATAAAATGATGAATGAAAGTCGCTCACATTGGCCATGGAAGGTATTAGTAGTAGTTTAAAAATAAGACAAGAGGCATTCCATGAATGCCTTGTAATTCTTTAACTGAAGAGAGTCTAAAGAATTCTAAACTCCTTGGAAAAGGATAATCTAAAATATTGGATCGATATTGTTTTTCGGGTCGAATGTCATGATCCATGGAATTTTGAAGTTCTAAATTGATATTAGCACCTGCCAAAACACTACGAAATTCTATGAATTACGACAAAACAGCCCGCAAAACAATATCGAATTGATTTACCTTATGTGTAAAACTGAAAACTACAAGATATTGTGGTCTGCTAGTAAATGCCTATAATCCAAAATTCTTAGAAAACAATTCGAAAAACTTCACTTATTAGATGAACCCAAAGTTAAAGAAACTGTGGATTCCTTTTCTTTCTCTTATTACAATGTGTAAAATATCGGAAGCAAAACGGGGTTGTAAATATTTTGATATAAAATGATTGATGTTGAATGAATTTACATCAATAAAAGTATTTGCAACCCTATTTTGGCTCTGATCTTTTACGGTAAACAAACTATTTTGGCATCAGTATCTTTTTTCCAATTAAAACGGGTGACAAATGTAAACAAGGAAACTTACAGAAGAATTATTTGTTGCTGAACTGAAGAAATTATAACGTAAAGATAGAAAAACTATATCTCCATCACTTGAAACAGAAAAATATGAATCATACTCAATCTTCGCAGCTGGTGATAAAATGCAAACACCACTATTAGTCTACAAAAACTCCAATATTTAAAAAATGAGAATATGCCTGTAAGGTTTTTTTAAAAAATATTTTATACTTAAGTGAATGTAGAAAATTAA